TCGCTCAGTGCTTCTTAGAGGGTTGTGTTGCCATCACCGATTACTCTCCGAAGAGATCATCGTCTAGACACAGATATCTTCATCATTGCGATTGCTTTCAAATCTTAAAAAATTGAAACAAATAAAAATTAAAACCCTAATTTAGAAAACCTACCTACATCTATTAGACACCGTTGTTGATTCAAAGAAAGCTTTGAAAGATATATATATAGAGGGAGAGAGGGGTTGAAACTTCAAACCCTAATACCCTAATACCCTAATATTTCCATCACAAGTGAATGGGCCGGGTTCTATACTATGTCATGTCCAGCCCAATTCCGCCATCTTCTCTTTTGGGCTTTTGGCAGTCTGGTGATGAGTCAGTTTCAGCAAGCAATACACAATCACACATGAATCTGTTCATGATACCATTGACCATTCCATTCCAAAGAATACAACCAATGTGATCTGGTCCTGGTGGAGTTGTTTAAATAAATAATTTTCACATTCCATAAGCTTTTTATCAACAAGGCTACATCTGAAAGAATTCAACAATCCAATTCTCTGGACCATTGCCACTATTACAACCATCATCGAACAACTCGTCTCTTTCACCCTCCCAACTTCTCCCACAACTGCTGTTCCACATATTAGACTAGGAAAATGCTTCCTCTCAATGTTTGCAGGACAAAAGTTTTCAACTAACATCAAGTCTCTACAACCTTTTATTGGTACACAAAAAAACAGATAAATCTAGAAACAGATCATTCTTCAGCAGGGAGATACCAAAGTGGTAAAAACTGGTCACAAACTGTGAGGGACTTGCAAGGAAAGCATGTGCATGTCTCCCATATTCTAATGCAGTTTGCCTGCTAGGTAAAAGGTTAAGCAAATTTTTTATGTATAGCATTTTGACCATAAAATGTTCTATTCTACTTTTACATAAGGGGAAGGTGAGAGATTGCATCAGCTTCTTTAAGTTAATACAACCTGCCCCGGGTTAAGCTATATGAATAATGATACAATAAGTTTCATAAGTCATCATGAGAAATTGAGATCAAGCACTACATTCTGAAATGTACATTCTGAAATGCACTTTATTTGAAACAAGGAATTCAGATTTGAAATTTATGTCCAACAAAAAGCCAAAAATTAATTTGATATTACAACATCTGCCAAATCAATTAAACAATTTTCCTGAACAGGATGTTCATCTCTCTGTCAAACCATGTCATCTAATATTGGGGAAATGGGGATTTCCAAAATTAAGTAAACATTGAGACAAAGGAGAACTTGGAAAGACCTAACCCTAGAATTTCCCCACTAGACCCCAAGCATATACAAAATCCAAGAAAGCCACAACAAACAAATTTTCTTAAGATAGAAAGCTCTAACAAGGATTATATGACAATAACTTTAACCAAATCTTTTCTGATGGAAGTAAATGAAGCTGGAAAGGAGACCACCACCAAAGAGACTATTCAATCAATGCCCAAGCTGGAATAGGTTTCAAAGCTATCCTGACAAGCATTAAAAATTAAGTATGAATCTACTCTCAATCACACAGTTTGTGGACTATACAAATTTAGTAAATGTTCCACTTTCAGGCCCAAAATCTTCCTTGTAGGTGGAATGGAATGAAGATACAAATGAGGATGAGTATGAATGGATTCTCAACTCCACTGAAACAACTATAATACGACCAGATTTTTTATGGAGCTCTTTCATTCTAACAGACACCAATTAAATTGGGGCTATGCAGAGTTGTACGTTTACATGGGAAAGGAAGAAATAATCTTAACTGAAAATGGTAATCTTTAAGCTGTTGAAGAAAGAGGTGAGCAGGAAAATAAAAAATGACATCATTATAAATTAAACAATGATTTGACTTTAAAAGAACATCAATATTGATGATTGTGCAACTTTACTGAAATATACTACTCACTGAACAGTCATCATGAACACGCCAAATGGTCTCGCCCAATAGGTTTGCTACGGATAGAACTGTCAATTGGGGAAAGTAGTTCTGCTCCATCACTGGAATAGTGTTTGTGATGATTACCTCTTGAAACAGACCACTAGACAAATTCTTGATGGCGGGAGGGCTGAGAAAAAAAACAATATAGACAACTGAATGAAACACATGAACGTTTGTACAGACACAAACATATCCACATTATATTAGAAATACAAAAATACGAAAACACACAACACACTATTAGACACCAAAGCCAAATTCTTTTTCTTATTTGATAACATAGTGAAATCTGTTAAAGCAAAAGCAGGTGGGCTACACAAAGAGTGGAAGGCCTTCCAAAGAATGTCTAAAAGAAAATTACTGTTTAACTCGGTAGATACAATAATAGGCTAATAGGTGATTCTCTATTTTATATGAGAAATGTCTAATAATTAAGTCAAAATATTCTGAAACATAGCACCGGTAATCTTATTTGCTTCTTAGGCGATCTCATCCTACTATTATTATCAGTACAGTGAAATTTAATAAAGATTGTTGAAAATGTTGTTGCATGCATTGATGCAACTAAAACATGAAATTTGCAAAAGGAAAAATAAGAAGCAGGTAGAAAATGGCACCTAAAGACAGCATGTGTGCTGCATGCATAAACTTCCCTCGCTCCCTCTCGATGCAACAACTCTGCACCTTTTGTAATAGTCCCTGAAAGCAGGGGGGGAGGATTTTCACCGGAACAGGTAAACCAATAAGTTAAAATTGCTATATAACCAATCTTTGCTCCCTATTATTCAGAATATTTAACGAAAAAATCTACAGAAGAAACTGCCGAAAAAAGTATTTGATTGTCTGTGAATGAATAATTTCTGTCATAGAGAACTGCATAAACAATATACAAAGACTGTAATTAGAAATAGTAAGCAAATCGAAGATTCAAACTGATTGTTGATTTCTGATTATACAAATATTATTATTGCACAGGACAACCATGGCATCATTAATAAATTATGTGACTCACCAGCAGTATCAATCATGTCATCAACCATCACTGCTACTTTCCCTTTCACGTCACCAATAAGATTCATCACCTAAAAGGTTTAAGAATATGAAAGGTTTCAATAAAAACCACAAATAAGAGGAAATTAATGTAACTTGTTATTGACAACATTCCATGAAACCATGTCGCAAGTTGGTACAAGAAAAGAAAAAGGATGCTAGACCTGAGTTTTGTTTTTCTATTTGGACTCAAGAATTTGCTACCAAGAATCAAGAACAGATAATTATCCAATCAAAGATCAAAACCGTAAAGTCAAGAGAAACAAGATGCTGTGATTACATGTCAGATAAGGGAAACAGTTGACAAACCCAACATTGTTCATATCCCTTAACTAGCCCTCTAATTGGATCATACTAAAGATTGGGTTAATGAACATTCTCCACCTTAGAATTGCACAAAGCCATGCGGGCTGAACCAATAATTCGCAGAAATGCCTTTAACAATGTAATGAACTAGTATGTCAAATTGCCATCTTTACAGCCTAAATGACGCACCCAAAAAACTCCCAGTACCACTCAGAAGAGATTAATGAATAATAATAAATATAAGCAAGAGAAAACTACAGGATTAAGGAAAATAATCTGAACAACAATGACAAAAATTAGTGACAAATCTTACCTCGGCCACATTGTGTCCATGACGTCTTTTGTCCACAATAGCCAAAGGAGCATCGGATAATTTTTTGGCAAATGCGCGTGCTCTAGCAACACCACCAACATCGGGTGAGACCACCACCAAATCATCTGAGCGGATAGTCTTGCTAGCTAGGTAATCAAGAATAACAGGCTACAAGAAGACAACGTATAATCTTTCAGTATTCGCTAAAACCAAAACTTAAGAAGAAAATATATAAAGGAAAGGAGGTAAACAATAACTTAACAATAATCTCAATACCTGGCCATACACATGATCCACAGGTATGTCAAAGTAACCCATGGACTGTCCGGAATGAAGATCGCAAGCTAGAACACGGTTTGCACCTGCTTCTGTTATAAGGTTTGCTACAAGTTTGGCTGCAATAGATTCGCGCCCTTGGGTCTGTAACAAAATATCAAAAGTAGAAGCAATTAGTCACCTAACTTGAACAAAATTGTAATAATAACAAACTGTCAACAAAAACATGTGAGTTGGAATATTAAATTAAGACATGAAGACAATACAAACCTTGTATCACCCAATTTGGTTTATATCACGCGCAACAATCTTAGGAGAGAGCCAATCATCAATCAAAATACAAGAGTTTTGCTCATCCAATTTGGTTGGTATTATGCCAAAGTAATCTTGGATAAGACCAGACTCAAGGAAGAGTAACCACCTATCAAACGAGGACAACTTTTTTTTACTTATTGTAATTGAACGTATTATATCAAATTACAGAATATTTCTTAATTGAATCTTACTATCTTAGTATCTTACTCCTTCCTGGTTACTTTATCTGACATTCCAGGATCGATTATATAGTAGTTATATTGTTCATATCTGATTCTAGTAATGCAAATGTGTCATGATAGTGTTATGTTTAGGAGTAGCTGAGTAGAGAATATCTATTCTTTGCAATTATCTCCATTCATACACATCAATATCTTGTATGGTAAAAAGAAAATAAGAAAAGATACGTCAACAAATAAGGTATCTATCCCATTTATAAGCGAGTTTGTATTTATTTTTCCAATAACAACTTGGTAGTTTTCGAAGCAGATGACCAAAGGTACATTTATCCAACTAGAAACAACAAATGAAACATCGAAGTCTCCAACCATGAAGTTTCATAGGTTTCCTTTTCTAAAATGCTGTAGTTCAACTATAACAATTATAATTTACCTAACGTCCTAACCACAAAGCAGATATACAAATTTCATTTATAACTTATAAGCATTAAGATCCACATAGGATGGATGTGCTCCTTCCATAGAGAATAGAGAAGCTATTTCTGTTTGAATGCACATGTACTCAATGAAGTGATATTCTAAGAGGAAAAAAAAAAGCAGATGATCAAAAAGAATAACAATGGGATTTTGTTTCAGAGTTCAGACAAAGTTGAAGTAAGAAATAAAAAGGAACCTTTCTGTCTGCTCTTGCATAT